TCATTTGCCTAATAATTCTGCACTCCCTGTAGTGGATCAGATGAATCACCTTCCCCTCTCAGCCCTTACCTAACGTTAGTGTTCAACCACAGCAAAGCTTCAGCACCATCCATCCAATGGTGCCAGTCCTTGTGCACCTCTGGGGCATGTCCTTCTGAAAGCCATGAGATTGCATCTTCAGTGCTATAAATACAAAGTCAAGTCAGTATCGTAACTACAAAAAAACCAGCCGTTTTACCATTTTTAAGTCCAGGCTGGTTTTTCCTGTATAATCTCGTATTGGTCAGAATCTGAAGATCACAGTCCTGTGGTGGGACAGGAAGAGGAAAAATAGGTAACAGTGAATCTGTTTGGGCGAGAAAGTTTTTAAATGGATCGTTGTCAGATCACCACATGAGTTAGAAGTCAGGTGTGACATAAAGTCTAAGCGTCTTTATAGGAATCTGAGGCGATCGCAGTTTTTAAATGATCTATTCTACCACACACACACACTCACACCTACACTCTCTCTCACACACACACTCTACAGACTGTCAGAGCTTTGGAGGTGAGAAAAGGTGACACTTGGTTTCCTCTATTGCAGCGATCCTTAAGCCTCAGGTCCTGAATCCAGAGCACTGAGGTTACCAGCTCTTAGAAACAGGAGTCACCTCCTAACAAAGCAGACAGATATGTTACATCTGGACGAGCCGGTTTAGTGATCACTTTTTCAATTTCCGTGCAGTATCTAACTGGGAACAGTGTGCCGGGGGACTGAGGTGACTGGGGTGACTGGGAGAACAATATGAAGGAAATCCTGCGGTATCTAAAACAGGTGACTTTCTGACGAAGGTTCGCAGGAGCTCATGTTTCACAGATGAATTTTAAGCTTTTGTCTGCAGACATAATCAGCATTTATACAGAAGGAAGCATGGTTACGGCGGTCATACCCCTTCCTCTTTAAAGTTCAGATCGGGCTGCAGGGCGTCATCGTGTGTCCCCGTTACCGTGACTGCCAGCTGAGACCTGAATTCAAGACCGGTCACAGTCAGCGATACCTGCTCACCTGACTGGGCGCTTTCACTGCTCCACTTTAATGACACCTGAGGGGAGCACGCACACAGAGTATGGCACAGGATGAAGAGGATTACTGTTGGGAATTCATTAGAGCAATATAATAAAACGAGATCCTGTACATAGCTGTCTCGACTGATGGATATTTGTGCTGCGTCGCTGATGATCTCGCCGTCAGACAGGATGCAGTAAACGGTGACACAGGCCGCAGGGGCCCAGGACAGCGCTGGGGTCAGAGAGAAGGACGAGGAGTTTTGGGTCCCAGCAGCTACCACCTGGCCTTTAGAGCTCACCTACAAAATACATACATTACTAAATCATTGTTGGGTTGAAGAAGTGTCACGGACAGGTGCACAACTTCCGGTAACAGTGTTTAAACACACACATAGTACTCTGCATTAATGAGTAATTGTGTGTAACACAACAAAGCCACAGAAATGATTTACAGTTAGAAGCTTAGACACTTATGTGCTGGCCACTGTAAGATTTTCTTGCAATTCATAAGATTAATTTTACTTTACAATATGTTGCATTTTGTCCTTAATGCAGAAAAGACGCAGAAAATCAAATGCACACACTGTGTATTTAACCAAACATACCACAAAGTGAAGCTTGGTCAGGTTAAAGGTGCTCTCTACATTTATCTGCAGAGGCAAGCCAATCTGGAAATTAAATAAATATAGTTACATTTTGGATACATGCAGCTGTGATATATTAAAAATATTAACTTTGTATATAATACCTGTGCAGATGTGTTGCCGGGGGCGATCTGAACATACGAGTCGCTCGGAGAGGAGAAGTTGTTGGAAATCTTCAGAGTCTCCTCACTGGACTGAAATCTGGCCTAAAAATCAGTATTTATAGCAGTAAGATAAAGAAAACGTGCACTTATGAACTGATGTTCTCCATCTTTCTTTGTTCTTCTGAAAACATAACACATCAGAGGTCGCGTTTTTAATTTAAGTCCTTTCTCTTAAATTTAATGTCATCTTTTACGCTACTGAAACTCTTACAAGCAACAAAAGTACAGAACTGTGATTGTTCTGCAAGTCCACCTTTGCGTGTTGGAGAATTACATTACTGACCTGAATAAAGAGCGTCACAACTTGAGCCTGTAATTTAAACCTGATGCGGACGTCCCCGTCCTCAGACACAGGAAGTATCAGAGCTGTGGGTTCTGCGTTTTTCACAGACGTTATCTGATTGATTTGAACCACAGCAGAGTGCTTTAGATCCACTGAGCTGAGCGGCTTCCTGTCGTATCTTGAGATCCTGAGCTGTGAAACAGAGGAGGCACTAATACTGTGTCCAAAAGGCTCTGACATGTGAGTTATGATAATAATAATAACTCACGTTTGTAGAGAAGTGTAACGACGGCTTTAGCGTGGGTGGAAAATCGTGGAATGTGAGCTGGAATACATTCTGCCTCAGGTGGACTTTCACGGTTTTGTTCACTTTAAACCCTTAACAAAGAACATTATGTTGTTTGGTGAAGTTAAAGTTATACTTGCAGCAACGCTGGTTTATTAAAATGCGTCATACCTGTGGTGCTGTCGTTAACAGAGACAGTAACGTGCACAGTGGGACGACCGTCACTGCTAACTGATGAAGTATGCAGAGCCTGGAGTTGATCATTGCTGAAGAAAAACTGTGTTGATCCATAGAACTGAAAGCGAAGGTTAAAAATGACAGATAGTGTCTCTTATAGTTTCTATTGCTGTTTCAGTTTATGATTAAAGATATGAAAAACTGAAGAAACGGAGACATGGAGAGCTTCACCTCTTTAGTTTGCATAGCAGAGGTCGTGTTGCTCATAGCAGACTCCAGAGAAACAACTAATGTTCCACCTAAGGGTCGTCCACCAGGGTACCTAAATGGAAAAACACACTAATGCTGCTTCACTTGCTTCACTTATATGTATGAAAATATGATATTGGCTGAAATGATCCAGATGAGCTCACAGTGCTCTCACTGATCCTGAGACGTCATCTCCAGCAAGGATGTGTGACGGCGTCTTGATCAGAACGTCAAAGTGTGGGCGCTCTGTGAGACAGGATGGTCATTTTGGTAGATCTCAGTTTAATCCTAGTTTCGATACCAAGAACAAAGCACTGCAGAAGTGGACGCTGGGAAAATTACAAGCTGACCTGAGACTCAACAAGAAGATTAGAAGATCCGTCAAAACAAAAATGTCAGCGAGTGGTGTGACAGGAAGATCGCCAAAGGGAACAGACGTTGCCATTTGGGAACTGTGACTTTAAGTCATTTAGAAAATGTAGAGCTGAAGTACGTGGCGATTCTACAGCAGGGGTGTCAAATTTAAAGCCTGGGGGCCAGAATCGGCCCGTCGAAGACTACAGTTGACCCGACAGGATGGAAAATATGAAAGAGGGAATCAATTTAAGCCCAAAGAATCAGGCTGACAGATTTCCTTCATTTACTACAGCAGCATGTAGTTGAAACTGCATGTCTTTTTTTCCTATATCAAAATATTTCAGGGATCAAATGTGCAGTCAAACTTATTTACACCGACAGAAAGGGGAGTTTCACTGGTCCGACCCACTTCAGGGGCTGTTTGTGGCTCACAATGCAAAATGAGTTTGACATTCCCGTTTTAGAGGGAAAGTCAAGGCATCGCAAAAGGATTTGGATAAATCCTAGGCATTAAATGTAATAGGAATCCATCCAGCTGTTGTCAGAATGATTCACTCTGAACCACTGATGTTGTTCAGGTCAACCAGTGCCGTCTATCCTCAAACTGACCGATCGAACATAAACCATCACCGTTATTTTGGAATAAATCGATATGCACGTTACCATGAAGCTCCACAACAAACTGCTTCTCGTCAGTCACACCCTGCATGTAAGAAGAGGGAAGCTCGGATGAGAAGATATTCCTTCTTATTCCATCACAGCGTGCAGAGGGGAAAACAACAACCCTACATTCACAGTAGCTGCGATCACCCAGCGTCCAAGAGCAGCCGTCTGGGACAAAGGGAATTCTCGCAACACGATTCCCAGATTGGGCGTGGACTCCCACCTGTCAACGATATTCCCACTGGGATCCTGCATGTAAGAAAGGAATATCAGTCAAGGTCCCAGTGAGCAATGAAAAAAGAACAGAGTTCCTGTGGCTTTGTTCTTTCACACAGACAATAGAGACGCACCCGTACAGAGAGATCCACTCTGCCCTTGTATGGATGGTTATCCAGCTGAACACACACGGCTCTGACTTTGACTGCGTCCCCTGGATGGTAGCGGGATCTGTCAGTTTGGATAAAGGTGGACACATTCCTGGGACTGAAGGTTAGGGTGGTGGTGTTGGTGAAAATGACACTGTTTCCTTTGTAGCCCCGCACCGTCAGGTTTAAGAGGGAATTCTGGGTTAAGGAGTCAGGAATCTGGAGCGATGACATAAGTGTTAACACTGTGATCCCAGTCAGACTTTTTTTTCCCCCTCTACTGCCGTGAGAAGAAATAAAAACTATACTTACAGGAGGAAGCGTGAGAACACTCGTCAAACCTTTAAAACAGAATGACCTTTTAACCCTCCCGAAAGTTAAAAGAAACTAATTCAAGCTCGAATCGGCTTGTGACTGCACATCACCTTCTTGGAAGTCTTCGGTCAGCGATACTTTGGTGCTTCCACGTCCCAATTCAGCTGTCACCGTGCCCGGGAAGTCTCCGAACACGGTGACGGCCAGAGGAGTCGGCGTGCCAGCGTGCACCACCTCTGGACCTGAGACCAGATACAACGTAGCACTGGCACAGACGAAAGAAAGGTGCGTTACTGACGAACGGAGGTGGTTGTGCGCCATCAATTCATTCACGAATGCAGGCGTTCTCGTTCAGGAAACGAATGCGACTCCCTTCATACCAAATTCCACCACTTACCTGGATGAATTCTGCGTCCGACCAGAAACGGCAAAACTCACAACTTTGAAACAAACAGCTAGGGTCCAGATCGCGTTCATGTTCACAGTCACGCTTCGAATGTTTGCTTCTGACCCCAAACTGACAGCAAACGCGTCACTTTACCTGTACCTGAGTGACCAAGCTCCTCCTCCTGTCCTCCTGCCAGGGCCCCAGGGGGCTCCTCTCACACGCATAGGAAGATTAGGAAGCATATCACACGCAGCACACAAAGCATAGCAGGAGGGTGTGCACACACTCGACACCTTTGCCTGGGGAGAGACCAGCATCATTTGTCCGTGGAGACAATTCCAATCCACTTCCAAAGCCCGGAGAGACACACCGAGGTGTTATTGTATCCATAACAAGGAGAGATCATCTTAAATGTCACAAGGAACAGAAAACTGCATGTGTATTAGACACAAAACGACCATATTATTTGAAAACGGAGACCACCAATCAAATCTCTATTGTTTTAGGAAATATTTTGCTACATTACAGGACTCTGTGGCCTACTAATTGAATACAAAGCCATATTAGCACAATTCAGCTATGTAATAAACAGGCTTGACATTTTAATTATCTCGTGACAACAAAGGACGACAGGCTGGCAGTGGGTGTTGCGTCTCTGGAGGAAGTGATGAGACTGATCCGACAGTTGTCTGAAACCCTCCCTCTCCGCTGATCTCAGGCGCTTTCAAACATTGAGTTTTGTCTTTATAATTGCTTGTTTAGAAGTTTATAGACATAAATACAGGTTGGACAAAGAAAACGAGGTAAAAATAGCATCGCGGTGATTATGAGTTGACATGATGGGTGCAACACTGACCGTGCTGTAGCCACTAAGTGGCAATTAAAATTTTTTTACTGAGGAATAGCAGCATGATGCAGGCAAACAGAAGCATGCATAACCTTATATTCACCAGCAGGTGGCAGTAAAGCCAAGGTTAAGCCAATTTCAAACATGAGCTCCTCCCAGTTCAAAACAGAAGAGATGAGAATGTTGAGCCAAAAGCCCATAAATGGATTTTCGTGTCTGTTCTTTTCAATCCTAACAGTGGGGTTAGTAAACAAGACTCACGGCGCCACTTCATCCAAATAAACTGTTTATTTCTTTGGTATAATTCTTCACACTAGTTAAATACAAACATATCTTACAATGTAAGGAGCACTTGATTCATTTTGGCACGTACAACTTTGTCAACAGTTTCCAACATGTCGAAAAAATACCAGATGCGCATCAGCGAGGATGCAGGTGTGATGCGAGATGATGTTGATACCGGATGTGCAGTCTTGTGGAGGCTTGTATTTGCTTTAGCTGTGTCGCTTCTTTAACACACATCCCTGAGCAACTTAACAGCACCGGCTCTCTCGTTAGCATCACGGAAGCGCTTTGAAATTTTGATTACATGTGTTTTATGTGAGGAAACGCCAACTTTTACTGAAAAACTGAAACTTTATCCAAGCTAAATCATCAGACACGTTTCTGCCTGGACTGAGGCCTTGCAGCTGAATGCCCACACAGCCTTTACAAAACTACTGCACATTACATTCTGACATCAACAAAGTGCTGACAAAAGTGCGTATTTACACAGTGCTCAAATGTCCAAACACATGTGGAATCTTTGCAAAGCATCACATATAAAAGCCAAAGATTATAGATTTCATGGAAGACCTAATACAGTACTTTCTGACTGTAAAGTACCAGTGTGGAGACATTTACAGCAACTCGTGTACACACTTTAATAGAAAGATGCTAAAAAGGTTCCACATAACCGAAATTTCCACAAGGCGGTCACGATAATATCCACTTTAAAAGCTAAAATGTGACTTTTGCATGTCCGTTTTATTGTCTGAACAGAAACGAGTGCACGCAGCTCACACCCATCTGTGCTTACATCCTTTGGTTACAGGCTTTTGTGACAGCTGTTTCTGAGTCTATTTCAGTTACAATCTGTAGCTTTGAAAGTCATCCGCTTTTAACCACCCAGCAAAAGTAGTATTCAGGGAACAATTATGATGAACTATGCTTCTTTGACAGCGTTTCTGAAGTGTCGTCTGCGGCGGGGCCGTTTGACAGTACCTCCAACAGTTACATCTCAAAGTGGCGGTACATGCTCTCCACGTAGCTCAGAACCCGCTGCCAGTCAGGACCGCCCGCCCTCAGCATCTCCTCCACTGTCTGTTAAAGAGACACATTTATGAGCACAACAAACAAAAATCTGTTTCG